TCCCACCACCACCACCATCACCACCTCCTCTATCCTCCTCCCACCACCACGTCCTCCCCCATCATCCTCCCCCTCCCACCACCACCACCATCACCACCTCCTCTATCATCCTCCCACCACCACCTCCTCCCCCATCATCCTCCCCCTCCCACCACCACCTCCTCTATCCTCCTCCATTCTCCTCCCACCACCACCACCACCACGTCCCCTCTCTCCCCGCCCCGTCCACGCCCCAACCATGACCAACCCCCCTCCCCCCGTGCTCTTTGCTCTGCGTTTTATTTTTGCGCGCTTGCCTTCGACGCGCGTGTAGGGCTTCCAGTCGTAGAGGAGGCCGCGGAAGGGCCGCGAGTTGTACTCGGCGCACTGCAGCGATCGGAAGTCGACGGCGTCGGGGGCGCACGCGCGCGCCTCGCACAGCCGGAAGGCGCGGCCCGTGCCCGGGCAGTATCGGCCGCCGAGTTGGGGCCGCGGGGCCCCGCACTCGCGTTCCCGCGAGCTCACGCCGCCGCCGCACGTCCGCGAGCACGCCGACCAGGGCGACCACGGCGACCAGTGGCCGTCGATGGGGCGGCTGCCCTCGTCGCCGTGCCGCAGGCATTGGCCGCGTCGGCACCACTGGGTGATCCCGGGGGGGAGGGGGGTGATGTTAGGAGGGTTTGAGAACCGTGATGAATCGTCATTCGTGCCGCAGGATGGAATCCGACGAGCTGCGAAGCCTCTTTCGTTCGCAGATGACAGGGATCATTCATTGGCTGTAAACATCTTGGTATCTAGAGGAACGCGGAGCTTGGGCAGTTGTTTGATAGCTGGCACATTATTTAAAACGGAGCGCCCCACCCCCTACAGTGCCCAAACGTTCAAAGCCGCGAGCGCGGCGATGTGATTAGGGCAACAGGAGCCGCGATATTTAAATATCATCGGGCTGCGACCGTGCGAGACAAATCAAATGTTGGGGGGTCCCCACCTGACCGACTGCCGCATCACCTGAGCCGACGATGTCGTCACAGCGCCACTGGGGAGCGGTGGTGCAAGCGGTTAGCGCGCTGCGCTGCGAACCCGGCGAGCCGAGTTCCATTGCCGCTCGCGGCCAACTACCGGTGACGGGCATCTGAACGGCTCGCGGTCCTCTCCTGCGTCGACTCAGCCTCAAATGAGTACCTGCTGTGCGGTGTGTGAACATCGCCGCTTGGTACAAAGGCGGCCGGGCGTGGTGCTGGCCACCCACCCCACTCCTGTGCCGTTTCGGCCTTGATATGTGCTGCTCGTCGCTTACTGCACTTGCCCCAACAGTCTGTTAAGGCTATACGGGGGGTCTTTGGTAGGGTTAGGGAGACGAGACGCCCGTGCACGGTAGGTTGGGGCGGTATGGGAGGGCAACGTTGGTGCCTGAGTAGTAGATTCTTGAATCTATCTGTGCGGAGATAGGCATGACCCCTCCCCACTCCGAGTGCTTTGCTTTCCGCCCCCCACACGAAGCCGCACGCTGAGTAACGGCACTGGCCAAACATCTTAATGCAGGACTAATTGAGACCCCCCTCCCCCCCCCCCCTGGGTCATTAGTAGTGTTTTGTATTATTGTTATACCGCATTACACATCGCACACGCAGATGCGCGATCCTTCGTAACCCAGCTGATGTCACTTAGCACTTACGCAAGGCAGCCCCTCCTGGAATTGGCCGCATTAATCTTGCGCATGCGACGTCCTGAATGGCTGCGACTTTAAACTGCATCGGGTGACGGTGATGTCACCAGACGCATGGCGGTGGCGGTGGCTACGCTGCTGCTGCTGCTGCTGCCTCTAATCCAGAACCGTTGTGGAGGAGGCAGCAGCGACTCGGGGTTGGTGGATCACCGCACACAGATGTTGTCTGAATCTCCCTTCCCGTGGGTTGGCGTCGAGGAAGTGCCGTACGCCCGGCTTGCCAGGAGAAGGCTGTACAAGGGAGCGTGGACTAATCGTTTGCACGGGGGATAGAGTGTTTCCCCCTCGCGCAAGGCGTGGGTTTTTTTTTTTACTTGCGTGCACTCCTGTTTCTTAACTCCCACACGTGTATAAATAAAGACTCGTCATTATTTTCTGCAAATATCTTACGATATAGAGGACCGCAGAGCTCGGGCAAATGTTGGCACCTTATTATCTCTCTACGAGAGCGAGATGGGTGGCGTGCGACGCCACGTTACAGCTTAAATATTATTGTCACAGATTCGCAACCCTCTTTTTGCCTCAGCGTGGCGCTCCAATATAAATAAACTATTTCTTAATATCTTTATTTATATTATAACATCAATAAGTCAGGAGCCAGTTGACTCTCCTCCTAGCCATTCATGTGAATCTCAACTCTCGGTTCGAAATTAAATCCGTATATATTGATTATTATTATTATTGTTATTTTTGCGGCAAGTCGTACAATTCATTTTCAATGTGGTATCCATTATAAGGTTTGGTTTTGGGTTGGTTGTTTTTTTTTTGCTTTTGGTTGAGTGTAGCCGTGTGCGTCGTGTGGGTGCGTGCGTTCGTTTCAAAACTGCACAGTAAGCTCGCGTGCTTCGCTGCCAAAGTAAACCACGCAGGGAGGGATGGGATGGCTTTTTGAAATATCCGGCCAGGCAATGGTCTGCAGCTTCAATCCAAGAGGCGCTGCAGAATCCCGTGCACTGGACCCCAGGATTCTCCCCTCCCCCAAAGCGGTAGGTACGCGTGCCATCGTTTCCATGAATGCACGCAGCTAGCCCTGACACCGAGCGAGCGAGAAAATGGAGCCCTGACACCGAGCGAGCCACGACCCCAAGCGAGTCGTGACCCCGAGAGAGTCGTGACCCCGAGCAAGTCGTGACCTCGAGCGAGTCGTGACCCCAAGCGAGCCACGACTCCGAGCGAATCGTGACCCCAAGCGAGTCGTGACCCCAAGCGAGCCACGACTCAGAGCGAGTCGTGGCCCCAAGCGAGTCGTGACCCCAAGCGAGCCACGATTTCGAGCGAGTCGTGACCCCGAGAGAGTCGTGACCCCGAGCGAGCCACGACTCCGAGCGAGTCGTGACCCCCGAGAGAGTCGTGACCCCAAGCGAGTCATGACCCCAAGCGAGCCACGACTCTGTGCGAGTCGTGACCCCAAGCGAGTCGTGACCCCAAGCGAGCCACGACTCCGAGCGAGTCGTGACCCCAAGCAAGCCACAACTCCGAGCAAGTCGTGACCCCGAGAGAGTCGTGACCCCAAGCGAGTCGTGACCCTAAGCGAGCCACGACCCCGAGCGAGTCGTGACCCCAAGCGAGCCACGACTCCGAGCGAGTCATGACCCCGAGAGAGTCGTGACCTCGAGCGAGTCGTGACCCCAAGCGAGTCACGACTCCGAGCGAGTCGTGACCCCGAGAGAGTCGTGACCCCAAGCGAGTCGTGACCCCAAGCGAGCGAGCGAGAAAAGGGAGCCGTGACCCCGAGCGAGTCGTGACCCCAAGCGAGCCACGGCCCTGAGCGAGTCGTGACCCCGAGCGAGTCGTGACCCCAAGCGAGTCGTGACCCCGAGCGAGTCGTGACCCCGAGCGAGTCGTGGCCCCAAGCGAGTCGTGACCCCGAGCGAGTCGTGACCCCGAGCGAATCGTGACCCCGAGAGAGTCGTGACCCCGAGCGAGTCGTGACCCCAAGCGAGCCACGACTCCGAGCGAGTCGTGACCCCGAGCGAGTCGTGACCCCAAGCGAGTCGTGACCCCGAGCGAGTCGTGACCCCGAGCGAGTCGTGACCCCGAGCGAGTCGTGACCCCGAGCGAGCCACGACTCCGAGCGAGCGAGAAAAGGGAGCCTTGACCCCGAGCGAGCCGTGACCCCCACGGCAATCGACGCGTGAGTTGAAAAGTGCGCAAGGCAGAGACGGAGAGGCCCTGCTCCTGGAGGAGCAACAGAGAGAATGGAAGAGGAGCGCGTGGATCGGATAAACTTGCTCACGTTTAGAGCCAACGCACCGGCCGCGTCTAAGAGGAGGCAGCAGACTCGGGCAGCACGCGGCTCGCGGCACCGGGACGACGGACGGCCTGCGGGCGAGGCTAACGACGGAGTGGCAGCCAAAGGATTGAACGCGCCCGAGAGAGACAGAGAGAGAGAGGCAGAGTTCATCCGCCGTGGAGAGGGAGCTATTGACTCGGCTCCTGCACACGAGATAGCGACGGCTTGGCTAGGGCCTTCATCCAGCAGTGGATAGATTGTGACTGATGATGCTCAGGATGAACTAGCTATGTTGCAGGAAGGCATGGGGCACCCTGGGTTAAGTCATCCTCGCAGCAGCAGCAGCGGCTCTAGGCTGGCCATCAAACAAAGATGGTCACTGCAGTGCACGCTTTAAGATGCGCTTCTGCGGCCGTCTGGAACGCTCTCCCTTCCGATATTAGGAAGCCACTGGGGGCTATCCACCTTTAAATAATCTATATTAACGAACTCATTTCTTTAGAACTGCCATTTATGTTTAGCTTGTTGCTCTTCATTCGCACATCAGATTAGCGCGGTTGGCTATGCACGGTGCGATAGAAAGTCAACATCCATGCAGGGTGAGTTTGTGTACGCGAGCGGTCACCTCCCATCCCCCGTACCTTGTTGATCCCACACGAGGTGCCTTCGGCCGCTGGCATGAACTTGGTCTCACAGCGCCGGCCACTCTTGTGGCACCAGAGGGCCTTGCAGATGTCCTGTAGGGAGAGTGTGGGATCGATGGAAGGGTTAGGAACAAGCCATTGAATAGGGGTTGCGCATACGAATAGAGTAGGGTTAGGAACAGGAATGACATAGGGGTAGAGTTAGGAATAGAGTAGGCTTAAGAGCGTCACGAAGCAGCGGTCCTTACAGAGCAGGCGCATGCGGCTCTGCTGTCGCAGGTTGCGGACTGGCTTGGTCAGAGAGACGGTGGTTACCCTCTCGCCTGAGTCAGAGAGACGGTGGTTACCCTCTCGCCTGAGTCAGAGAGACGGTGGTTACCCTCTCGCCTGAGTCAGAGAGACGGTGGTTACCCTCTCGCCTGAGTCAGGGAGACGGTGGTTACCCTCTCGCCTGAGTCAGAGAGACGGTGGTTACCCTCTCGCCTGAGTCAGGGAGACGGTGGTTACCCTCTCGCTTGGGTCAGAGAGACGGTGGTTACCCTCTCGCCTGAGTCAGGGAGACGGTGGTTACCCTCTCGCCTGAGTCAGAGAGACGGTGGTTACCCTCTCGCGGTAGCGCCATCTGATCACTGTTTTCGTGTCACCCGAGACACGGCCAATCCGCGCCGTCTTCCGCGCTATTCGGACCTCGTGAATTCCAATCCAAAGATTATTATTAATAAATAATCATGAATAATAATAATAATTACGGCGTGTAGTAAACATCGCTCGGGAGACAGAATTGATCCCCATATATAATTAATGTACAGGCGTTGTGGGATGCAATGAGCACGGATGATGCGATATAAAAGTACGTTTGATTATTATTATTATTGTTTACCCAAGAAAGCCGCACGCTGCTGAGTCATAGGACCCGGTGCGTGGCTGTCGACTGCCGATGATAGCCGATGCAGAAATCCTTCACCTTTGACCGTTTGGGCTGCAGAGCAGCTGCACTTCGTCTGGCGCGCTCGTGCGTGCGAGCGGGCGCGCGTGTGCCATGATTTCATCGCTCCGTCTCCCACTTGGCGATAACCCCCAGTGAGCGTTCTCGCGCCCCCCAACCTCCCCGGCGTAGATTTTCATTGCGCGGTTTTGTTTTTGTTCCTCGTTTATCAGCAACTTTAGCGGTGATGAGACCACGTGTGGTGTGTGCGCGTTCGTGTGTGAGCGAGCGAGTGTGTGTGTGTGTTTTTTCGTTGTCAAGATCGGCCTCTGTGGAGGAGGTTCGTGAAGGACGCTGCTGCTGCTGGGGAGTTGGAGGCAGTCGCCCTCCAGCAACAACGGAGGGCAGAGGAAGCGACGCTCACAACAACGAGCGGAGCTCCGGTCGGCTAAAACGCAAAAAGGTGGCATAATGGGGAGCGCAGTTGGTGCATCTGCCGGTTATCTCAGTCAGTCAACCCATGGCACCGGTGTTTGTTTAGTGACCTGCCAGCAGCGAGAATTCGACACTTCACGTGGCCACAAAGCGCACCTGGCCTGGCACAGGCGTCGTGGTGACGTCACCGCTACTTCGTGGTTAAAGGCGGTTCTTATTGTGTTCGTGTGTGAACGATTGTCTAATTGTGTCACGGCCAACACCAGTGACGATTATCTGAACCGATCCTGGGCCTACCTTAGGTCGACACAGCCTCGAATGAGTACCTGGTGCGGTGTGCAAAATCATCGTCATTGGGAAGACAAAGGCGGCCGGGCGTGCTGCTGGCCACCCGCCCCCTCGTGTACCGTGCCGGCCTTCATAGGTGCTACTCTCTAACAGCACTTGCCTCAACAGTTTGTTTGGGCTATACGGGAGATCTTTGTTTCGTGTGTGAATGTGTGTGGATCATTCGCGTTATATTCGTTTAATACGCTGATGACCCGGTATACTCGCTGCTAACTACTAGAAGGTAATTGGGAGGCTCTGCTGCTGAACCTGGAACTTGTGACCAGCATTACCCGCAGCTCCAAGGGTAACCAAAACATCTATTAAACATTCATTTTTATTTTAGCATGTAAATTCCACTGAGCTGTATAGCTCTTTACAAGAAGCAACCTGGCCACAAATAATAGCTCAACGAAATGGCTTATCACGTGCAAATAAATGCACAGCGGCCAAATACTCTAAACGCCTGCTTTTGATTCTAAATGTGGAGGGAAAAACCAGAGGATCCGGAGAAAAACCCACATGACCACGGGGAGAGAGAGATTAGTTAGACACGCAAACTCCAAATATACAGCAGCAGGCGTCAGGGTCTCGTATTGATACTCACGACAACCTACCCACCCAACCCATCCTGTCAACCTCTCCATGAGCAACTGGTCCTATAGCAGCCCACATTTGTGTCCATCGGACAGACTTTTATCCGTAACCCGTGCACAGTCGATAGTTCCTTTTATAACGTGCAGTTGTATTGAGGGACTTGCTCTGCGTTGTTGTCTTGGGTGTGGTCTGGGACTGTTGTTGCTGTTGCGTTGCAGTCTTGCCCAAGGTTGCATTGAAAAATCGTCATGCAATTTCTACTTAAATACTTATATTTTTTAGTTTCAGTGGCTTGATTTCCTGCTCTCTACTTTGCACTCCTATCGATTTTTTTTGCGTGCATTGTTTGATCTACCTACAGTTGGGATTGGACGGTATAGCTCCAGTTTCACTACGAGCACAGTCAATGTCTCATGTCAAAGCCTTGATGTCTCAAAAGGTCCCCACTAGGTATCCAAATCAATCCGTCTTTACTTGGTTATTGATGGTTGGAACGTCTATCAAACACACGAGGTCAACAGCCTTGATGTCCTTCTAAATCAAACGTTATCCTTTCAGTTCCATGTCAACAGAACCCTGATAACCTCTTTTTTTACACCTCAAGAATATATCCCGGCTGCGTCACACCCTTAATACCGCAGACACTGAAAGACGGTAAGAATGGATTTTACCCTTTCTGGCAATAAAACAGTTATGTTCAGATGTTAAAACAACAAACTGAAACCTTTTGCAAGGAATCATGTCTTACATTAACCACATATACTAGTGGTGAGCATGCAAAAAAAACATTAAAAAAATCATTCTCTGGTAGTATATGTTGCATTGTCTTTGGAACTGATTGGTCCGCACCAGAGACAGCTTTCTTTAGAGCCTAGTGTCAAACAGTGTTAGACCAGAGGACGCCAAAAGGCGAACAGCACAAAGACAATGCCACTATCAGGACAATGAGAGCTCGGGGTGATCAGCTACATCACGGGACCTCCCTTGCCAGTGTCAAAATATAAGAATAGGTTTCACCCTTTCTGGCAACAAAACATTCGTGTTCAGATATTAAAAGAAAGACTGAACCACGCATTTGTTTAACTACTGCAATTGCCCTGCCTTTAGGGACCACGAGCAAGATCCTAAACAGGCTGGAGCACGTTCAAGATGCGTTCGCCAGGGTGCTAACTGGTACACAACCTTTTGAGGATCACATCACAACACACGCGCACCTGTTCCTTCACTGGCTTCCTGTCCGTACCCGCATTGATTTTAAGATTCTGTTGCTGCTATTCAAGGCCTTGAATGGACTTGCTGCTCCGTAGATTCATGATCTCCTTCATCCACGAATATTTCATCAAGATCATCGAGATCTTCAGATTGTGCACTGCTCACTGTCACCACGGTCTAGGCTTCACACTTGGGGATGATCGCTTCCTTTGCAATTGCGGCCACCTAAACTCTGTAACTCGTTGCCCCATTCGAGGTCAGGGGAATTCCCAGACACTTTTGAGATCTTCAAATCTCGACGAAAAACCTCTCCGTTTAAAATAAATTTTCTCTCTCTTTCTCTTTAGTTATTTACAAAGCCCTTTTCTCACTTCTTCGTGCCTTGGTCGATGTTAAACTATGTCCGCCTTGCCACGCATAGCACCACTGAGAACGCTCGTTCACGGGGTGATTTGTAATGTTGTTGTTGTAGTATTATTATTCAGTGAAACTTGCCGTCCGTGAGACGGTGTGGCTTGTGTTGATGTTGAGGCCCACTTAGCAGCATTCTGTATTGGCGATATCCATGCTTCTCAGCGATATGCCGTAACGGATGTATGTACACAACTCGTTAAACACACACACACAGAAAAACTTACTTAGGCACATCGCTAAGTTATCCTCTCATCGCTGCTGTGCGCGTCTTTAATTGAATCTAAATATTTTCCCAAAGAGAATAAACTCCCAGAAGAATCGCAGATGACTTAACTCCGACCAGAGGACTCCGAAAATACAAAGAGAGCTGAGAGAGAGAGCGCGCGAGAGATAACCGAGAGTGAGAGAGCAAGAGAGAGAGAGGGATGCGAGCAAGGAAGAGAGAGAGAGAGAGAGAAAGAGAGCGGGAGAGAGAAACTGAGAGAGAGAGTGAGACCGAGAAAGAGAGAGGTCTAGCAAGAGAAAAGCGATAGCGAGAGAGCTAAAGAGAGAAAGAGCAGCCTCTACTACAGTGCTACCCTAGGGATCAGCGTCATTCTCTGGCCGGGCCTAACCCAACACTAAGAACATCTCACTGAGAGCCTAAAGCAAGTTGATAAAAAAACATCGCTAATGGATTTGATTGGGGAGCCGGGGGGCGGGGGCCGGGGGTGGGAGTTGAGCTGGGGGGGCGGGGGGGTGTAGGGTTTTGCGCTGCAAGCCCAGTCTCTAGTAGACTAGCACATGTGTGCTTAGTACATTAAGGTTGTCCCATGTGGAATCGAGCGCCAGGATGGATTAAGTCTGCGTACACAAAGTGCGGGGTTGTTTGTGCGAACGGCGTCCGCGCTTTCTAGCTAAGGGGGGAGCGTTCACAGCGTGCGTCCGTCCGTGTAACGTGAATAGCGGGGGTCACGGGAACTGGCTCGTAAAGAGTTGCGGTGCGGTTCGGGAGGTTATTCACCCCGGGAGAAAACCGGAATCCCGAAACGTAGTTTGGGGGGGGGGGGGGGGGGGGGGGGGGGCGGGACATTTAAATTAAACTTTAAAAAACAATTTCGATTTAAAGCTTTCGTGACTGCAATGATTCATCTTCTTTGGTTCTTTCGGTAAAGTCACGTAGAATGCGAATAAAATAATAACGTCGTGAGAATATTATTGTGTTATATTATTTTATCAATTTATTATTTTATTCTCATTCTACGTGCCTTTACCGAAAGAACCAAAGAAGGTTAAAAAACAATATACAGCGCTAAATGGGAAAGGCTTTTCGGCCATGGCGATGACGTCACAGGCCGAGCCGCGTGTGACTCACCTCGCCCCCTCCCCCGCACGTGACCCCCCCCCCCTCCCTGTGTCGCCCCACTCCCCCCCCGCACGTGACCCCCCCCCCCCTCCCTGTGTCGCCCCACTCCCCCCCCGCACGTGACCCCCGCCGCCGTGTGAAGAGGCGCGCGCCGACCTTTTTGAAGTCGAAGGTGCACAGCTTGGCCCTGTCGCCGAACTGCCACTTGCACTGCGTGTCGGCGTCGTAGCGCTCGCCGGGCAGCCGCTCGGGCAGCGCGAGCTCACCCACGCTCCGCGCCGCGTCCATCAGGCACAGCGACTGCGCCGAGCTGGGGGGGGCGGGCGGGGGTCGACAGGGTGGGATGAGAATTAAGAAGAGTTTTGAGACGAGAGGGAGGAGAGCGAGGCACGCGTTAGCAGTGGTGGTGGTGGTGATGATGGTCGGGGTTGGATAGAGGGAGGCGTCGGGATGAGAACCAAGAGCATGGGAATAAAGGGAGGTCATGGTGATGGTAGTGGGAGGGAGGGCGAGGGGTGGAGGCAGGGAGGGAGGGGATGGTGGTAGTTGGTGGTAGTCGTAGTGGATGATGGTGATGAGGATGTGCCCACGTGTCCGTGTGTCCGCGCGCCACTCGCCGCCAGCATGGCCACGTGTCCGCGTGTCTCTGCGTGTCTCCGCTTGTCTCTGCGTGTCTCCGCGTGTCTCCGCGTGTCCGTGTTCACTGCGCGCCCTGCACCGTCGCTCACACCTCAGGAATCGCTGCAGGGCGTTGCGACTGCAGGGAGACCAGGAGAAGACTCCGTTGTTGCCCGCCAGCGTGGGTGCCATGATGTTCCCTTCCGACTTCTTGCACAGATTTCCCTCTCCGTCGTGCACCATCCCGAAACTCCACCACGGAGGAGGAGGGAGGGGCACGCGGGGAGAAGAGGAGAGACGAGGGAGGAGAAGGGGGACATTATTATAACTTTCACTTGACTCATTACCACTGTGGAGTCGCAAACGGAGCCTCCGAACGTTGACGTCGGTGAGCCAGGCTACGACTCTTCCTCGACCGCACCGCGGAAGGGGCAGATGGAACAGATGGAGATTAGTCCACACTTTGTTGTATCACATTCTCCTGGTAAGCCAGGCTACGGCACCTCATCGACCGTACCGCCAGAGGGGAGTTTCGCGACACCTGTGCGGTGATGGCACCAACCCTTGAAATGATCGTGGCTGTTGACGATGATGATCATGATTGGTGATGGCGATGATGTTACGGAAGTCGGTGGTGTTGGCAGAGTGGTTGGAGTTGCAGAAGTATTCCAGGGTCGCCTTAGCGAACGAGGTTTCCTATAATTCCCCACGTTCTCTGAGCTCATTCTTTTGCTGCATCACCGGAGCAAGCCAGAGCGAGGAAATGTAGTCATAACCATAATGATACATGAATAAAATAATGTGTTAATAAGCTAATTTATGTATTTATTGATTTATTTAGTGATGGCGATTATTATTCACCAGCCAGGTAGCTCGGCAGTCTGTATGTTGCGAGTTCAAATCCTGATTGGACGGATTTACTCAGCCAATCATCGTTATCTCCGTCCCTTCAGGGTCGATAAAATACCTACCATTTTACGAGAAAGTCAACAGTTGGTTGTCTTATGGAGAGACTTACCCACCTACCCAGCCATAGTAATGTGGAATTACCACTACCGGCACTGGCAGCGCTACAAACAGGAGATGATCACCAATGCCTCTGCTCAGTTGCGTAGGAATGCACTCTTGACGATCCCCCTGTATCTTCCCCACTATCTGACCTCATTCTCTGCTGGCTTACAACGAGCCGGACCCAGGGAATGCGGTCACAATAACGATGCTAAGCCTGGCTCATCCCAAGGATCTCTTGCCAAGAGTAGCGGCAGAGCTGGCTAAGCCCGCGCGTTAAGGGAGCCTCTCATTCGTCAAGGGGGGTGGGGGGCGGATTTAACTGTGCGTACAATAGTCTGATGATGCAGACAGTGACCAGAAGGAGACTGACACTATTTGGACACACACCGCATATGTTGGATGGACAACAACAGGACATTTAAAAGTGTTGTTGTTAGGAATATATATTTGTTTAAGCAACTGGAAAGAGAGGAAGAGCTAACGGAGAACAGCTTGACGACAATATGCGAGATTGGTGCCAGAAATCCGTGGCCAGCGCTTGAGCCATATTGGCACGACAAGACAGAGAGGAAAGTGGAAAAGCTGCAGTGGACACTTACTACGGGCTGGCTGCCCATAGATCGTGATGATGATGATGACGAAGCCAGGTGTACGTACAGAAAAACAAGCAAATGCCTTGCTGTTTATTAAGGTTGTTGGGGGGGGGTGGGAGGGAGGGCAGAGGGGTTGGAGGGGGAGAGGGGGAGGAGGCGATCACCCCACTTCGAGTGGCGCTGGACTCACTTGTGTCCGGACTCGTGAGCGATGGTGAACGCGAGACCAAGCCCCGAGTCCTCGTTCACTGTGCAGCTGCGGAACTTGCTGCACATCCCACTGATGGGAGCGTAGCCTGCGTCACGCACCAAACACAGAGAGCCTTAACACACGATTGGGGCAAGTGCTGCTCGCGGGCAAGTATGAGAGCCATCATTGTGTACGCGAGTCTCTTCGTGATTCTTTGGGTCTCTAAATCAATGGGTCTCTATATAAGTCCATTAGTCTATATAACAGTCTATACGTCTCTGGGTCTATATGTGATCATATGGATGTATCTTGAGTCTATGGGTCTCTATGGGATTCCGTGGCACTCTCTACGAGTCTATGGGATTCTATGTGATTTCAATGGGTCCTTACGAGAGTGTGTGGGTCTCCATGTTATTCTATTGCTGTGTGAGTCTATGGAGTTCGTATTCTATGCGAGTCTATGGGTCTCACTGCCGTTCTTTGGGTCTCCTATTCTCTATGTGATTCTATGGCTCTGTGTGTGTTCTGCGGAACTTCATGCGAGTCTATGGGTCTCTTTGCCAGACTATGGGTGTCCTGTTCTCAATGCGACGCTATGGTTCCCTCTGTGTGTGTGTGGGGCTCTATACGAGTCTATGGGTCTCTTTGGCCAGTCTATGGGTCTCCGTGTGCGTAGGGGTAGGTGGGGGAGCGGGGGCGAGGTGGGGGGGGGCGCGGGTGGGGGCCAGGGTGATGGGTGTGGAGTTAGTAGTGCATCCTACCCAGGGTGTCACACGGCTCGTTCTTCCACGAGCAGATGTCGGTGCCGGTGAGCAGCACGGCGTGGTCGTGGCGACCCCCGTGGCGCCCGGCCGCCGTCACGCCCGACTGCCACTGGCAGAAGCTGGACAGGGTCTGGTCGGCGTGGTGGTTGATGACCAGACCTGGCTGGCCGTGCCGACAGAGCACGCAGCGTCCACCTCAGCCCACGGCCACTCCGCTCACGCAGTCCGTGCTCGCGAGAGACTCGGACAAACGCGGACGCTGCTGCTGTTTGTTTGTTTGTTGTTGTTGTTTTCTGTTGTTTAACACGTAGGGTTTCGCGAGCAATAGTATCCGTAACAACGGTTTGTTTACGTTTCGCTGGGTTAGATCGCGTAGATGTAGATGTCGTGGATCACAGAGTCGAACCTAGGCTTGTGAGCGGTGCTGTTCTCGGTAATTTATTATAACTCGATTGTATTTCGTCTGAAAATTGCTTTTACTGTTCTTGCGATTTTAGTCGTTTAACAGTGTGTTTCTTTTACCTGCACGGCACGTTGAATTGCATCGTTTGCACGAACTAGTGCCGTAGAAATGAAGGCTCGATCGATCGATTGACTCCCAGCTACGGACCCACGAGTTACTCACCTGATCCTCCTCGAGCAGCACGAGTCCCACCACCACCAAGTTGATGTTGCTTCCTATAGTCCCGTCCCGGAAGAGGCTGGACACCTGCAAAGGACGTAGAGATGAAGCGACAGTGAGGAGTTGGGGGGCTGTCAAGTGGGGGCTGGGGAAAGTGGGGGGTGGGGGGCTGGGGGGGGTCATTCATGCAAATTGATTTTCACAATCGCCGAGTAGGAACCTCACAGATGCGAGCTGGAAAGTTGCTGCCAGCGCTGCCGACAACTGATCTACAATTCTCTAAATATTGAGATGTTAAAAGCAATTTATTCAGCCAACCATTGCACTAAACTCAAATTTAGCAATCTTTGGAGGAACGTGGGGTGTTCACTGTTTTGTTGGCCGACTCTCTGTGTTGTGTTGCATTATATTTCCAAGTTTACTAGGTTTGCTTTCTCAATCATTTGTACCTGATGATGGTTGCTTGTGTTGCAATCGAAACGTCGTATTCTATTATTTTTATTTTATTTCTTTCTACGTGACTTTACCGAAAGAAACAAAGAGTAATCACTGCACTGTTTATTATTTTTAAAAAATGCCCACTGAGCTATATAGGTCTTGTACAGAAGGGATCTGACCACAAAAGATAGCTCAACGAAGTGGCATATCCTCACGTGGAAATGTGTAGCCCCAGTCAAATACTCTAAACGCGTGATGTTGTTTCTAAATGTGGGTGGGAAAAAAACCGGAGGATCCGGAGAAAAATCCACATGACCACGGGGAGAGAGAAAGAGAGACAGACACGCAAACTTCAAATATACAGCAGCAGGCGTCAGGGTCTCGGATTGAACCCACGACCTCCGGTATACCAGTCGAGGTAGTTAACATCTCCTAGCCATCGTGGAGGGATAATCGGAGCACCTGGAGACAAAAAAAGCACCCAGGCATGCGAGGAGCGGCATAGCTCTACGCCGTACAGATGGGACGGACGATTATGTCAATCGCAACATTTAGCCATCCTGTGTGCGGTGATCCGCCAATCCCCTCACTGCTGCCCTCCACAACAGTGCTGTACTACAGACAGTCACGTCGAGCAGCAGCAGTAGAGTATAGCCTCCACCACCACCACCACCAATAGCTACACCAACTCTTCTCCAGGCTGGGGATCGTCACCACTTATTTTTTTTGCTGCCTTGGCCAAGATTGTACCTGTTATTAACAAATCGGCATAAATGTTTGTACTCGTGATATTGATGTATTTGTTGCAGCGACTGGTTTACCTTCTCTCTAATTTGCACTGATATCGTTGTTTGTTGTTGAAACTTGCCGACCCCCCCCCCCCAAGCCCCACTGGACATGTGTGAAAAAGAGCTTCATAGATCTTTGGATTCCTCCACCTCCTCCGCCAGCCGACAGAAATATTCCGTATTCCCACTCACGATGTTGAGGATGGTCAGCACGTAGGTGGACACGCTCGCGCGCCCGTGGTTGGCCACCATTCGTGGGTCCACCACCACTAGGGTCTCAACCGTGGCCTCTCCGCGGCGGCTCGGCCGTGCGCTCACGGGCGACCGCCTTCCCCTCTCCCGAGACACGAGCCCCGGGGATCCGTGGGGAGACTTTCCCGCGGGCAGGAAGGGGAATTCGTCCGGGTGGATGAACGCATCCTTGCCAGGTGGTCTCGGCGCGTCTGTTCCAAGGTGGGGTTGTTTTTTTTTGGGAGGGGGGAGGGTCCAGTTGGAGGAGAGTGGGGGGGGGGGGTAAAGTGTGGGGGTTTGGCTTTACGCATCGGCGGCCGCGTGGGAGTCGTCGGAGGCGATGTGTCTGTCGCTGGAAGTGATCGATGGTGTGGATGATGGAGTTTGGTGGATGTTCTCATGAGGGTGTCCTGTAGGTAATGCATGTACGTCGAACTTCTTTCGCACCGTATAGCAGCCAACCGCACGCTAATCGGTGGGGGAAAGGACGACAAACTAAAAAAAACAAAAAGCAGATTTTCTAAAAAACATTGGTCTTCAAGAAAAAAAAAATATCTGTAAGTGTTGCACGTGCGTGTCGGTGTGTGGGTGGGTGTGTGGGCGTGTTGGTGTGTGGGTGGGTGTGTGGGTGTGTTGGTGGGTGGGTGGGCTTGTCGGAGCGTGGAGCTGGCCACCCAACCCCTCGTATGCCGTTCCGGCTTTCGTAGGCGCCACTCGCCTACAGAACTTGCCCCAATGGTATGTTAAGGCTATACGGGGATCGTTGTCAAAGTTGTGTGTACGTGTGTGCCCGCGACAATGCACGTGGCCTCGCAGTGCACCTGGCCTGGCACGAGCGAAATGGGTACCCAGTGCAGATCGTAAACATGGCCACTAGAGAGACAAAGGCGGCCGGGCATGGAGCTGGCCAACCCACGCCCTTGTGTTCCGTGGCGTACATTCAATAGGTGCTCGCTAACAGCACGTGCCCCAACAGTCTGATGAAGGCCATGGCGGGTGGGGATCTTTGTCTCTGTGTGTGTAGGGTATACGCGTGTGCGCGCACGTGTAAATATATGTAAGTATATCACATATGATGCACTATCTGTATACAAAAATACGCATGCACATGTTAACGATTCTGGAAGCGTTCCAAGAGTTTCCAATTATACACAGTGGGTGGTATCAGTCACGTTAAATGCGTTTTGCATCTAATAATGAATTGCCATAATAATAACACCATAATAACAATACGATTTGCAATTGTACAAACTGTAAATGCTCCTTCACAATAAAAAGCAAACTATAAAGGGCATTGATCATCAATCCATCTGAAATATGTCATTCGTTATAATTTTAAAGGCTCGATTTTACCAGCAGCTTTTCTCCTGATATTACTTGGAAATGGCGATTCAGAGTCAGACAGTGAGAGAGACTTGGAATCTCTAATAATATATAGGTCGCTGTGATAGTCTGGGTCTCTATAATCGCCTATGGGTATCTGGAATACTAATAATAGGGGTTTTTCCCTTTTTTTCTGGCAACAAAACTGAAACCTTTTTACGAGGATTCATGTCTGCATTAACCACAATACCTGCAGTCAAAATGCAAAACAAAAAACATACTATGATAATATATGCATTGTCCTTGAAACTGATTACATTTTGACTGCAGGTATTGTGGTTAATGCAGACATGAATCCTCGTAAAAAGGTTTCAGTTTTGTTGCCAGAAAAAAGGGGAAAAACCCTATTATTACATTTTGGTACTGGCAAAGGCGGTCTAATGATATCTGGAATACTCTCTGGGTCTCTGTGATAGCCGATTACTGAGGCAGAGACTGAGAGAATTTGCATCTCTGCGTCGCAAATTTATGAAAAAGTCCGATCCTTACATACATTTCTTGCGCCGTCCGCAGTAGTGCTCCTTGCGCGTCTCCTCTCCGCGTCTCCGCGTCTCCTCTCCGCGTCCCCGCGTCTCCTCCCCGCGTCTCCGCGTCTCCTCTCCGCGTCTCCGCGTCTCCTCCACGTATCCCCGCGTCTCCTCTCCGCGTCCCCGCGTCTCCTCTCCGCGTCCCCGCGTCTCCTCCCCGCGTCTCCGCGTCTCCTCTCCGCGTCTCCGCGTCTCCTCCACGCGACCCCGCGTCTCCTCTCCGTGTCCCCGCGTCTCCTCCACGCGTCCCCGCGTCTCCTCTCCGCGACCCCGCGTCTCCTGTCCGCGTCCCGGCGTCTCCTCTCCGCGTCCCCGCGTCTCCTCTCCGCGTCTCCGCGCGTCCTCCCCGTGTCTGTCCGGCCGGCGATAGAGGGCGTGGGGCGCGTGACCGGAGGGAGAAGTGGCGGAGCGAGTGTGGCGGTGGCGGTTCCTCCGCGGAGTCTCGGGCACGAGCGGCGAGATGAAGAATTCTCCGTGGGGAGTGCGGATCAGACCTGACTGCACGCAACAGCACAGCGGACCATCGACACCACACAGACACACACACAGACGACACACACGGACAGACAGGCAGGCAGGCATACGTGATGCTAAGTCACTTCGTTGAGCTATAATTTGTGGCCAGATCGCTTCAGAAAAATAACTAAATAGCAGCTCAGTGGGCCTTACCTGCTAAAATAAAATAACACTTGCGTGATAGTTTTAAACATATGTGTTGAATTTCAACAATTACACAGGCACAGATTTGCCGATAAACATTCGATTGCAGTGGCACACGAGGAGCTGGCTAATGCGAACACGTGTTTGTGTGCACGTGCGTGCTCCTGTGTGTGCACGTGTGTGTCGGGAGCGGTAGTGTAGCGGTTAGCGCTACGCTGCGCTATGAACTCGACGAACCGAGTTCGATTCCCGCTCACGGCCAACACCAGTGACAATTATCTGAACCGGTCCTGGGCCTCCCCTACGTCGTGGTCAGCCTCAATTTAGTACCCGGTGCGGTCTAAAACATTGCCACTGGGGAGACAAAGGCGGCCGGGCGTGGTGCTGGCCACCCACCCCCTCGTGTGCCGTGACGGCCTTCATAGGTGCTCGCTAACAGCACTTGCCCCAACAGTCTGTTGAGGCTATGGGACGATCTTTGTCTTTGCACGTGTGTGCTCGTGTATGTGCCACTCTTTGACAGCAGAGACCAGTGCCGAGATTGGTATTGGACTTGAGCCCAACATCGCGTGTGTTTAGTTTTTTTTTAGGGGTGGGTGGGGGGTGGAAAAAAGAATATCCATGACTCGACGTCTGCCGGATGAGAGATTGAACCCCTGAATCCACAACGAGCGCACCCCACTCTCCCCGAACCAAAACATATCGTCACAACGATGTCACGAGTCTCGTGACGGGGGGGGGGGGCAGCCCCAAAAGGTAGCGGATACGCGCCACACACACACACGGAAACGCGCCACACACACGGAAACGCGCCACACACGCGCAGAGAGAGAGGGGAAGAGTTGACCACAGCCGCAGAGATGGAGCGACTGGCATCACGGCTCACGTGTGCGTCAGCGAGATGGATTTGTGGCGTCGCAGGACCGCTGGGGATGGCGTGGGGAGGTCTTCAACCAGCGGTGGATAGACCACGGCTCATGATGACAATGATAATAGTTATTCAGCAGTACGGAGATCTGGTTGGAGGGAATTCCAGACCGTGAGGTAAGCAGAGCAGAGGGAGCGACCTCCCACAGAGCGACGCGCGCGTGTGTGTTTGAAGATAATTTGTCAAGGCTTTTTTTCCCTACCAGCTCCCCCATCCTCCCTCACCTCCGCCGTCACCTCCCCCACTCCCTCCTCCTCTCTCCCCTCTCTCTCTCTTTTTTAGCTCTCTCCCCTGCCCCCTCTACAACTTTCACCCCCTCCCACTCTGCCCTTCACTCTCCGCTGCTGATCTCTCGTTGAGGGAGTTGTTCGGTTCGGAGAGAGTGGAGATGAGAGAGGATAGATTAGGGAAAGGGAGAGAGGGGGGTGCAAATGAGAGATGGCAGAGAAGAAATGGGAGAGAGTGGAGAGAGATGGCAGGGGACAGGAGAGAGAGAGAGAGGAAATGGAAGAGAGAGAGAGAGACATTGGAGAGGGGTGAGAGTAGACGGGAGAACGGAGAGTGGGGAGAGGGGAGATGGAGGAGATGGGAGAGTGAAATGACAGGGTGCGGAGAGACGAGAAGAGATGGAAGAGAGGGGGAGAGAGAGTAAATGGGGGGGGGGGGCGAGAAAGAAAGAGGGGGCATGCGGAGAGGGGCGAGAGTAGACGGGGGAGAGGAAATTGGAGAGGGGAGAGAGAGAAAGGATTGGGGGGGGGCTCCGTGGCTTGAGAGGGCGAGCGAGCGGTGCGCTGCGCGTTAGCCGCGATGGGGCCGTGGTGACCACGCCGAGAGACGAATGAGTCTGCGCTGGTGATGGTGTGGGACCGGCTACACCCCACCCCCCATACCACCAACACCCCCCCAACCACCTCCCCCACCGAGAGCGGGGTCACCGCGGGTCAACCAACGCTCTCACACGTGTGCGTGTGAGAGCGTTGTGTGCGTGTGAGAGCGCGTGAGTATGAACCGTGTGTGTGTGTGTAGGTCTGTGTGTGCTCGTGTGTGTGTGTGTAGGTCTGTGTGTGCTCGTGTGTGTGTGTGTGTAGGTCTGTGTGTGTGTAGGTCTGTGTGTGTGTGTGTGTAGGTCTGTGTGTGTGTAGGTCTGTGTGTGTGTGTGTAGGTCTGTGTGTGTGTAGGTCTGTGTGTGCTCGTGTGTGTGTGTGTGTGTAGGTCTGTGTGTGCTCGTACGCGTGTGTGTGTAGGTCTGTGTGTGCTCGTACGCGTGTGTGTGTGTGTGTGTAGGTCTGTGTGTGCTCGTACGCGTGTGTGTGTGTGTGTAGGTCTGTGTGTGCTCGTACGTGTGTGTGTGTGTAGGTCTGTGTGTGCTCGTACGCGTGTGTGTGTGTAGGTCTGTGTGTGCTCGTACGCGTGTGTGCGCGTGTGTGTAGGTTTATGCGTGCGATTGTGTGGCTCTCTGTGTCTGTGCGTACTCGTGTGGGGAGTGGTGGTGCAGCGGTTAGCGCGCTGCGTTAGGAAACCTGCCGGCCAGAGTTCGATTCACGCTCACGGCCAACACCAGCGGCGATTGTCTGAGCCGGTCCTGGGCCTCCCCTAGGTTGGCTCAGCCCTCAAATGAGTACCTGGTGAGGTGTGTAAACATCGCCACTAGGGAGGCAAAGGCGGTCGGGCGTGGTGCTGGCCACCCACCCCCATTCGCCCTCGTGTGCCCTGTCGTCCTTCAAAGGTGCTCGCTAACAGCACTTTGCCCGACAGTATGTTCAGGCTATACGGGGAATCTTTGTCTTTGTATGGCTAAATATGTTTGTACCGGGAAGAGTCATGCAACGATTTCCATACTATTGTTATACTTTATTACCCAGTAACGTGTGTTGAACTTCTTTCGCACCGTACGTAGCTAACCGTTCTAATCGGAGGTGAGAAAATGTCTCACTGAGTCTTAGGACTCTCTTTCAGGAGGGTCTTGCTAAGTATTTACAGGAAATTGCGGTGTTACTACTCTGTAATCCCAAATGAGTAATTTGCAGGGGTTATTTTTTAGCAGCATTGGGATGTGCATGGTATGGTTTTAGCCATGGGAAGAGAAACCCCCATGGAGAACAAGGCGGAGAGAACACACAGACCCCACTCACTCACACTCTGTAGAACAGGCGAAGAGAACACACAGACTCCACTCACTCACAGTCACTCTGCAGAACAGGGGGAGATAATATACAAACTCCACTCACTCACACTCTGCAGAACAGAGGGAGAGAATATACAAACTCCACTCACTCACACTCTGCAGAACAGGGGGAGATAATATACAGACTCGACTCACTCACAGTCACTCTGCAGAACAGGGGGAGATAATATACAAACTCCACTCACTCACAGTCACTCTGCAGAACAGGGGGAGATAATATACAAACGCCACTCACTCACAGTCACTCTGCAGAACAGGGGGAGATAATATACAAACTCCACTCACTCACAGTCACTCTGCAGAACAGGGGGAGATAATATACAAACTCCACTCACTCACACTTTGCAGAACAGGGGGAGAGAATATACACACTCCACTCACTCACAGTCACTCTGCAGAACAAGGGGAGATAATATACAACTCCACTCACTCACACTCTGCAGAACAGAGGGAGATAATCTACACACGCCACTCACTCACAGTCACTCTGGAGAATAGGAGGAGATAATATACAAACTCCACTCACTCACACTCTGCAGAACAGGCGGAGAGAACACACAGACTCGACTCACTCACAGTCACTCTGCAGAACAGGGGGAGATAATATACAAACGCCACTCACTCACACTCTGCAGAACAGGGGGAGATAATATAAAGACTCGACTCACTCACAGTCACTCTGCAGAACAGGGGGAGATAATATACCAACTCCACTCACTCACAGTCACTCTGCAGAACAGGGGGAGAGAACACACAGACTCCACTCACTCACAGTCACTCTGCAGAACAGGGGGAGATAATATACAAACTCCACTCACTCACAGTCACTCTGCAGAACAGGGGGAGATAATATACCAACTCCACTCACTCACAGTCACTCTGCAGAATAGGGGGAGAGAACACACAGACTCCACTCACTCACAGTCACTCTGCAGAACAGGGGGAGATAATATACAAACGCCACTCACTCACACTCTGCAGAACAGGGGGAGATAATATACAAACTCCACTCACTCACAGTCACTCTGCAGAACAGGGGGAGATAATATACAAACTCCACTCACTCACAGTCACTCTGCAGAACAGGGGGAGATAATATACAAACTCGACTCACTAACAGTCACTCTGCAGAACAGGGGGAGATAATATACAAACGCCACTCACTCACACTCTGCAGAACAGGGGGAGATAATATACAAACTCCACTCACTCACAGTCACTCTGCAGAACAGGGGGAGATAATATACAAACGCCACTCACTCACACTCTGCAGAACAGGGGGAGATAATATACAAACGCCACTCACTCACAGTCACTCTGGAGAACAGCGGGAGATAATATACAAACGCCACTCACTCACACTCTGCAGAACAGGGGGAGATAATATACAAACTCCACTCACTCACAGTCACTCTGCAGAACAGGGGGAGATAATATACAAACTCCACTCACTCACAGTCACTCTGCAGAACAGGGGGAGATAATATACAAACTCGACTCACTAACAGTCACTCTGCAGAACAGGGGGAGATAATATACAAACGCCACTCACTCACACTCTGCAGAACAGGGGGAGATAATATACAAACCCCACTCACTCACAGTCACTCTGCAGAACAGGGGGAGATAATATACAAACGCCACTCACTCACACTCTGCAGAACAGGGGGAGATAATATACAAACTCCACTCACTCACAGTCACTCTGCAGAACAGGGGGAGATA